CTGTCTCGAAAAACATATATATATATATATATATATATATATATATATATATAATGAAAATTCTCAAAGAACTAATGAAAATACTACATTTAAAAAAAAAGAGGCAGAACCAAACCAAGCGTGGTGATATTCCCATATAATTCTAGAACTCAGAAAGCAAAAGCAGGAGAATTTAAAGACAGCCTGGGGTATATAGTGAGACTGCCCATCTCAAAACAGATAGAGAGAGAGAGAGAGAGAGAGAGAGAGAGAGAGAGAGAGAGAGAGAGAGAGAGAGAATATGAATATGCTTAGAGGAAAGAAGGAAGGAAGGAAGGACGAAAGGACACGAAGGAATATTCATGGAGGCCAGAGAAGATCTTTTAGTGTTACTGCCCATCTCAAAACAGAGATAGAGAGAGAGAGAGAGAGAGAGAGAGAGAGAGAGAGAGAGAGAGAGAGAGAGAGAATATGAATATGCTGCCCAGGCTGACATTTAATTTCAAACAACCCTCCTATCTCAGCTTTTCATGTAGTTAGAACTATAGGCACATGCCACCAAAATTCTATGTTTTTTTTTCTTCTATAAATATCATTTGTATTTCAGTCTGGATTGCATTGGATTATAGATTTGCTTGGAAAATAGGAATGTTTAACAATATTAATTCTCCTAGACCACTTATGCACAGTATCCTTCTGTTTGTCTATATGTCTCCAAATTCTTTCATTAATGTTTTATAGTTTTCATCATCAAGATATTTGTGGAGCCCACAAAGGTTTCCTAGTGAGATCTGAGCTTGCTTTACACAGCAGGACTACATTAGAGAATTGCTTGACCATGTGCATGGTTAATAGGTGATTAGAAAGAATCTGCACTTGGCTGTGCTAGGGGAAGGTCTTTTGCTCCACCCCCTGGCATTCCTATAAATAGCCCTTTGGAAGAGACAGAAGGGGTCAGTGGATAATGATCCAGGCCCTCCCAAGGCTATCCTGTGTTTCTGTTTCTTTCCCCTCTATCCTTCTATCTAAATAACTCATCCCTCACTCTTCAAGAGTACCCTGTCACAAAATGTAGGAGCCAGTCTCCCAGCTGGGTTCTCACACATCTTTTATCTCATTGGTTAGATTTATTCCTAAGTGGTTTTTGTAGCTATGTAAATGGGATTTCTGATGAAGACAATTCACTGCTAGAATATAGAAATGCTGCTGGCTTTTGTATGTTGATTTTTGTGTCTAATAACTTTACTTTTAGTTCATGATTTTAAATGGTAGAATCTTCAGGGTTACCTACTTTTAGAAATCATGTCATCTGAAAATAGTAACAATTTAACTTCTCCCTTTCTTGCCCTTTATTTAATTCCTCCATACATATAGGATTTCCTCTATATATGTCTTGTTTCAAATCAACATGTTACTGACAGCTGAATTCCTTTGAACGTATTTTCTGACAAATTATTTTTATTTGGATTTTTATTAAGTACTTCAACAATATCAGCATTTAAAATCCTATCCAGTGTGCGTCTAAGTATTCTTCCTAACCTGAAAGCCTGTGATGACACAAGACTGAGTCCTGGAGAATCCAGGACATTTCCTCTCTCTGGCTGCAAGGGTTGAGAGGACAAAATGTGTTGAGTCTTGTGCATTGGAGGCAGGTCGGCTAATGTGCTTGGGCTCTGCATGCTGCAGGAAGTCTTAAGACTGCAGAAGTCAGCCAGTCAGCTTACCACTCCGTCTCCCTCCATGTTCCCTGCCCCTTGGAAACTGGTGATCACTGCCACTGTAGCTTCAGCAAGCACCCGACTGCTGCTCTTGTTTGTTGTGTTCACACGCTCTGTAGATCTGCCTTCCTTTCCTCTGGATCAGCAGCCGTGTTAATAAGGATCTACAGGATATTGAATATTATATACAGGGTAAGGAAGCCTACCCTGAATCCCTGGGTTTAGATGTTTCTATCTTTAAAAAAAAAAAATCAATTAACCACAGCAACATACTTCTAATTGTCTGTGTCATTGTGTGTGTGCATATACATACATCTGTGGAGGCTGTGCATAAGTACCACATTTTCGATCTGTAAAATACACTAGAAGCAAATGCACTAAGCTTAGCCATAGAAGGTTCTAGACAGCTACATAGCAAAGCTGCTGCCAGTCATTAGGGAAGGGATAGCCCATGTCCTTTGCTTTGGTTGGAGGCTACAACCATTGAAATGACAGCCAGATTGTGTAGATCTGTATACCCTAACTCTTTTGAATCAGGAGTTAATTTCTTCTTGATAATTGTCATCCTCTTTGGTGTTATTGTAAGATCAGGTATGACACGATGATTGAAAACCCCAAGTAAGAGAGCTGAAGAGATGGCTCAGAGCTTAAGAGCAATGACTGCTCTTCCAGAGGTCCTGAGTTCAATTCCCAGCAACCATTAGGTCACTCACAACCATCTATAATGAGATATGAGATTTGGTTCCCTCTTATGGCGTGGCAGATAGAACACTGTATACATAATAAATAAATGAATCTTTTAAAAAAGAAAGGAAGGAAGGAAAATCCCAAGTAGGGCTGGGCATCGTGGTGCACATCATTAATTCCAGCACTTGGGAGGTAGAGGCAGGCAGATCTCTGAATTCGAGGATAGTGTGGTCTACATGGTGAGTTCCAGGACAGCCAGACATACATAGTGAGACCTTGTCTCAAGGAGAAAAAAAAAAAGGAGGAGGAGGAGGAGGAAGAAGAAGATTCCAGTAGAAGCTGTGAAGAGTGGGCAAAACAGAGACTTTCAATGTTTCTTTTAACATTGTAAGGGAACACTGTTTTTAAAACTCCTCAGCCATCCTGCCATTTTGTGGTTGATTATCATTTGCTAATGATAATACTTTCTTTGGCTGCAAGAAGGGTCACAGCAGCAGCCCCTCTTGTGTAGAGTGACTCTGGACAGGACTGACTGGGACAGAAATGAATAGGCTTCCCATTGTTGTGTGCATTCTTGCCAGGGCATTTCATTAGGGTACACAATGACCCCTTTGTCATCATCTTGCTTCACCACCTGCCCCTGGTGATTCTCAGTTCTGCTGGTGCCGTGGAGTGTGGAGGTGGCAGGCACCGGACGGGCACTCATTATTGGACGCAGAAGCATTGCTGACCCAGGACGAGATTAACTGCTCCTTTGCAGTTTTTATTCGAGGGCATTAGCCCCGTCTGGTTATCTTGCTTTGGTTGAGAAATTCAGGACAATAGCATTGCTGATGGTAATGTTGGCAACTTCCCTGTTGATTTTGCAGGTCACGGCCAGGGGCTTCGGGCCACTGCTACAGTTTGCCTACACTGCCAAGCTGTTACTCAGCAGAGAGAACATCCGGGAGGTCATCCGCTGCGCCGAGTTCCTGCGCATGCACAATCTGGAGGACTCCTGCTTCAGCTTCCTGCAGACGCAGCTCCTGAAGAGCGAGGATGGCCTGTTTGTGTGCCGGAAGGACAGTGCGTGCCAGCGCCCCCAAGAGGACCATGGGAACTCTGCGGGAGAAGAGGAGGAAGAAGAGACCATGGACTCAGAGACAGCAAAGATGGCTTGCCCCACAGACCCCGTCAGCTTTGAGGCCACTGCCATCCCAGTAGCAGAGAAAGAAGAAGCCTTGCTACCTGAGTCTGAGGTACCCACAGACACCAAGGAAAACTCAGTACCTAGATACAAGAAGTACCAGCTTGCATGTACCAAGAATGTCTATAGTGCGCCCTCACACAGTACCTCAGGGTTTGCAAGCACATTCAGTGAAGACAGCCCCGGCAATAGCCTCAAACCGGGGCTCTCCAGGGGACAGATTAAAAGTGAGCCCCCCAACGAAGAGGCCGAGGAGGAGACCGTCACACTCTGCCTGTCCGGAGATGAAACTGACATCAAAGACAGACCCGGGGATGTTGAGATGGACCGAAAACAGCCCAGCCCTACCCCTACCCCCAGTACCCCTACTGGAGCCACCTGCCTGGACAGATCCAGGAGTGTGTCCTCGCCTTCCTGTCTACGGTCTCTATTCAGTATAGCAAAAGGTGTGGAGTCGTCTGGCCTGCCCAGTACATCTCAACAGCACTTTGTCAGGAGTTCAGCGTGCCCCTTTAACAAGGGGATCTCTCAGGGTGACCTTAAAACTGACTACACCCCTTTCACAGGGAATTACGGACAGCCCCACATGGGCCAGAAGGATGTGTCCACCAACTTCACAATGGGGTCGCCACTCAGGGGGCCTGGGCCGGAGGCTGTCTGTAAACAGGAGGGAGAGCTGGACCGGAGGAGTGTCATCTTCTCCTCAAGCACGTGTGACCAAGTGAGCACTTCAGTGCACTCATATTCTGGGGTGAGCAATTTGGACAAAGACCTCTCCGAGCCGGTGCCAAAAAGTCTCTGGGTAGGAGCTGGCCAATCCCTCCCCAGCTCACAGGCCTACTCCCACAGTGGACTGATGGCTGACCACTTGCCAGGCAGGATACGGCCCAACACCAGCTGCCCGGTGCCAATCAAAGTCTGTCCTCGCTCACCTCCACTGGAGACCAGAACCAGGACCTCCAGCTCCTGCTCCTCCTATTCCTACGCAGAGGATGGGAGCGGGGGCTCCCCCTGCAGCCTCCCCCTCTGTGAGTTCTCCTCCTCGCCCTGCTCCCAGGGAGCCAGATTCCTTGCCACAGAACATCAGGAGCCAGGCCTGATGGGAGATGGAATGTACAACCAAGTCCGGCCCCAAATTAAATGTGAGCAGTCTTATGGAACCAATTCCAGTGACGAGTCTGGATCATTCTCGGAAGCAGACAGTGAGTCGTGTCCTGTGCAGGACAGGGGCCAGGAGGTAGGGAATCCACATAAGTTCAAGCCTATGTATGACCTACTATCTCAGTCCTTTACCTGAATTTCCCCAAACATATTCTCAAATTGTTCTTATGTGTGATCTTAGTTAGGATTACTAATGCTGTGACGAAATACCATGACCAAAACTCAGGTTGGGGAGGAAAGGGTTTATTTGGCTTACACTTGCATATCGCTGTTCATGATCAAAGGAAGTCAGGACAGGAACTCAAGCAGGGCAGGAACCTGGAGGCAGAAGCTGATGCAGAGGCCACAGAGGAATGCTGCTTCCTGGCTCGTGCGGCCTGCTTTCTTATAGAACCCAGGACCGCCTGCCCAGGGATGACCCCGCCCACCATGGGCTGGGCCCTCCCCCAACAATAACTAATGAAGAAAATGCCATACAGCCAGATCTTATGGAGGCATGTTCTCAATTAAGATCCCCTCCTGCCAGATGACTCCAGTTTGTGTGTCAAGTTGACATAAGACCAGCCAGCACCTGGTCAAGTTTAAAGGTGACAGTTAGTGGTCTGGTACCAGTAAGTGGACCGTCTCTGGCTTCCTCCCTTGGAAGCAGAGTGCTGCAAGGTGATGCAAAATCAGCCACTTGAGTCTTTGAAATCCCTCTATACCTAGCCTGGGTTCCAGTGCCGTGTGAGTAGAGGCGAGCCGAATGCAGTACGTGTAAGTGTGCTCAGGTACATTCAGTCTCCCCCCTGTCCCCTCCGCTGCCCTCACTCCCCTGTCGCTGCCTGCTTTGGAAGGATGCACCCATGCTTGCGCTTCACCCCTTCAACCTGAAGAAAAACATAGACGCTCTTTCAAATCGATGCGTTGGAACTAAATAGATCCTCACAAAGAGGGGCTTCTCCTGCACCTTTACAAGTATTTCTTGTCCACAAGAAGATACAGGGTGACCCTGTCTCTATCACAATGCACATGATAGAATGATTATCATCCATCCTTGACATGGGTTCCCTGCAGAAGTGCCCTAGTCGGCACACACAAAACTGCGTTTCCTAAGCTCCCACGTTGAGAAGAAGTCATTCATTTAGTGGATAGTGTTTTTGTCCAGCCTGAAAGCATTGTGCTGTGTAGATAGAAAGGATATGAAGGCTTCATCTGTGGGTCACTGTTTCTGGGAGCAGGAGTCGGGACGGCACTGGCTACATCATAAGCAAGACTCACGTGACTACGAGAAGGAAGACGAGGAGTCTCGAGTTCCCTAGTCATTTCAGTGTTTCCTAGACAAACCTAAGCGTGTCTAGGTCATGACCTGGTATCTTGGGCACTGACAAAGAACCAGCCAAAGATTGCCAGCCACTGTGTCTCACCCCTGTCTCAGGAGCAGAAGTGAGCAAAGCTGGTGACAGGTCTTGGCCCTGTGTCTGAAAAGCTCAGAGAAGAAGAAATGTGGGGTGGGGTGGGGCTCCATGGCACGGGGTGCTTGCCTGCCTTGGCCTGGCCCTGGATTCAGTCCCTTACAAAAAATGGAAGGAGGGAGGAAGGACAGGGAGGGAGGGAGGGAGCTGCCCATGAGGCCAGTGGGCTCGGTACTTCTCTGCTCTTCAGCCTCTCTTCCTCAGCAAAGATGAACTCTGCCAGACGGCAGAAATGCCGTGAGAGGTGAGGTGAGGTAGCCGCGGAGCCGTGTGTGGTTTATTCAGCATCCACAAGGCTGGCGGACACAAAGCACATGAGCTTTAACTTTCAGGCATGTTTTGAAAATGGACTCCAGAGCTGCCTAGAGCTGCAGACACACCCTGGGTTCACTTCCTCTTCTTCGCTAGCCTGCCTGGTCCCTGCTTTCCTGTTAGTGTCTGGCGGAGAAAGACAGAAAACCACCGAACAGGGTTTAGTTTAAGAAATGGAAATTGTGAAGGAAATCTGAATGGGCGGCATTCCTGGTGGTGTCTTATCCCCTTCGGTTTGGGACGGGGTCACCACCGATGCCCACGACATGCAGCCCTGCTCCTAACCTTCAGAGGAGTGAGGCTTCCTAAAAGCCAGGGTAGTTTCACAACTTTTGGGGGAGTTGCTGTTTGTCCCTGGAACTGTTCTTAAGGGCACCTCCTGCAGAAGGCTGGTCCTTGAGTCAGCTCCGTCCCACACTGGATCTTACCAAGGACCAGTAGAGTAAGAACACATGCCGCTTTGTCGTCTCTTGAAAAGTTAGGAACTGTCAGTTTCAGATACTCAATGTCTGCTGGGTGGTGGTGGCTCCTACCTTTAATCCCGGCATTCGGAAGGCAAAGCCTGGTGGATCTCTGTGAGTTCAAAGCCAGCCTGAACCACAAAAATGAGTTCCAAGGCAGCCAAGGCTACACACAGAAACCCTGTCGCAGAGAAGGAAAAAAAGAAAAAAGATCAGATCCCCAATGCCATCCATAAGAGCACATTTTTCCCTCTGGGCTATGTCAGACTCCACCTTAGGACTGGAAACCATGACATGTTTGGGGGGGGTGAGATATTCATTCAACCCATGAAACAGCCACAGACAGGACTGGTCTCCCCTTAAAATACCCTTGGATTAAATTTTTATTTTTACTTTTCAAAACAAACCTGTTAAACATTCATAAGCAGTAAAAGGCACGTTTGCCCAAACTCCCTGCCTTCATGAGTCACTCCAAGCCTTTTGGTAGCTTGTGTTGGGCAGGAGGATGCTAGCAGAGCTGAGGTTCTTTTTCCCCAGTGGAGGAAGTTATTTTCCCAGAACCACCCAGGCCCTCGGCATGACGGCCCCTCTGGGAGTTCAGTGACTTGCTTCGGGGGTTACAGGGCCTAGGTAGAAGTTCTGCCCCAAAAGTATACTGAATTCCCATGAGTTTTAATTTGTTTTCTTGAACTGATCCATAAAAAAACACAGCATCTATCTTGGATTCTGCCCAGACTGCTCTTAGGTAGGGCTAGGTGTTTTCTTCCAAGTAAACCACAAGATACAACCGAGTCTGGAATAAAACCCGGGGCTCCGCTCCCTGCCAGCCACCGGTGTAGCCTCACAGCTTCTCTCCATCTTCTGAGCCAAAATGTGGGACCAAAAGAAAAACATCAGTGTATCTTACTTTCTGTAAAATCTATCACCGCATTAAATAACTCCCCTAGTTCATAAAACACAGACTTGTCCCATCCTTTTTTACTCTTCCCTAGCTTTGAAAAAGCTTCCAGTATTGGGTTGGAGAGTTGGTTCAGCAGTTATTGGCTGCTGTTTCAAAGGGCCTAGGTTCAATTCCCAGCGCCCACACACATGGCGGCTCACAGCCTTCTGTAACTCTGGCCTCTGCGGGATCTGCACATACATGGTGCACAGACTAGACATGCATGCAGGCAAAACACCTACACACATAAAACAAAAAACAAATTTTTAAATAAAATATCATTTCCATACCATAAAATTCGCCCTATTAGAATGAAAATTTCAGTGTTTTAATATCTCCACAGTGTTCTGCAGCCATCTCCTCTTTGTGACTCTAGCATGTTTTCTTCACCCCAGGAGCAGGTTCTCCTCACGGCTTTTTCCCTCCACCCCAGACAACCACTAATCTGCCTCTGTTCTGTATAAATGGTATTTGGCTTTTTTCACGTAGGATAGCATTTTCAAAGTTGATCTCTTCTGTAGATACATCCACCTGGTGTGTTTGGATGTATGGGAGCCCCACCCTTCTGATTGCGGATCTATCTTGTTAGGCCATCCCACATTTTATTGACCCATCATTGTTTGAGGGAGTTTTGGTTGGTTCCACTTCCTGGATATTTTGAAGGATGGTGCTGTGAGCATTCCCATGCAAGGTCTCTGTAGACGGGCTTCGTTCACTCATTACATTTCTCTGAATGGTTGACTCCTGTGGTGACTCTACCTGTGGCCTTTGGAGGAACTACCCAGCCTTTTCCCAAGGCAACTACACCATTTTTGCATCCCCCATCCGGCTAGGAGGAATCCAGTTTCTCCTCTCGCTGCCAACCCCATACTCTTCTCTGTGCGTCCATCTCATGGATGTGACATGGCATCTCCTTATGTTTACAAGTTTGTTTTTAGATTTTGAAAACTGTACAGAAGTCATAGTCCTCTTCCAAGTGGTGCATGCGCTAGTCAGTTCCCAAAGCATTTCCAGTTGATTGTGAGTTTAGTGAAGAACACTGGGTAGGTGGTTGATTTCCATATCCAAAGGTACTGGTGAGTTGGACTCGCATTATTAACATGCTTCATTTGGAGAGGAATAAAAGCATATGAGAGTGGCCAGGTATAGTGGCACAGGCCTTGTAATTCCAGCATTGAGGAGGTGGAGGCAGAGGGTCATAAGTTCAAGGCCAGCCTGAACTGCAAGGCTGTGAGTTAAACAAAACAAAATGGAAAAGTGGGGGAGGGGGGGCGGGGACAACCAGTGAAATAGTACAGAAAAGCCATGTCTAATTCTTCTCACCAAAGTGCTGACTTGAATATTCTGTTTGTTTTTACTTTTTTTTCTTTCTTTGATACTTTTAAAACCATTATTCTATTATTCTTTGACAATGTCATACACATGTATAATATACTTCAGTTTCTTTCTCTTTCTTTTTCTTTCCTTTTTTATGTCTTTTTGTTTATTTGTTTATTTGTTTGTTTGAGACAAAGTCTCTACATAGCTCTGGCTGTCCTAGAACTCAATCTATAGACCAGACTGGCCTCTAACTCACTGAGACCTGCCTCTGCCTCCAGAGTGCTGGGATTAAAGATGTATAGTGCCATACCCAGTATATTTTGGTCATTTTCAACCCCAATTATTCTCTCTCATCCCCTCTTCCTCCCACTGAACCCCTTCTTCTTCCCAGTTGACTTGCTAACTTTCTGTGTAAGATGTTTACCATCATTCCTATGGTTCGGTGAATCAAGCCCATTTTTGCTAGTGTCTAATTGGTCTGCTTAATGAAAAGAAAGAAGACTCTGAATGGCAGCATAGAAGTCAGCTGTGTTCATAATTAAAACAGTGTTTTCATGTTGTCTAGAACATTCTCAGTGTTTGGGGTTCC